CCCCGCCACGCCGCCACACATGAACCTTACGTGACATGAAGTGTAATGGGAAGGCGGGTGGCGGTGCGAGCGAGTCGTCATGCGGGGCCGCCACGGGCGCGAGCCGGCAGCGGCTAGCAGAAATACCACAGGAATGTGTTGTTTTTTGTCGATGGTGAAACGCAGATGCACACGCGCACACACACATACACACACACGGACACACGTTAACGGGCATAGGTCCAACAAAGGCAATCGAAAGTCATGAATTATTCACAATACATGAGCGCACGATGGCAGCAGCAGCAGTGGTGCCGTGGAGGGGAAACGGTACGTATGATAAGGAAAAATACCCCGTGCGATGACGAACACAGTGATAACAGAAGCACCATGGCCCGACAAAGAGGCACACTCTGCGGGTGGAGCACCACCGTGTGGGACAGGCGACACCGAAAGGCACTGACAGTCCATCCCGCGCGTCCCGAGCACTGTCACTGTCACTGCACGGCGCGCTGGCGCCACCTGTGGCTCGCCCAGGTCACTCACCTTAACGGCTTCCTGGTTGTGCCTGTCCAGCAGGAACTCCATGGACTTGGCTCGGCTGGCGGGGTCCTGCGCGTCGAGCAGGCCGCTGGGGCTGGGCACGCGGGGGCCGTGGGGGCCGCGGGCGCCCTGGGGGGCGGAGGCGAAGCCCGAGGCGTAGCCGCTCACGTCCAGCAGGGAGCGCGCCTTGCCGGCGGGCGGGCCCGGCGCCGGCGCCGGCAGGTCGGCGTCCAGGTCCGTCTCCAGCAGGCCCGCCATGCTACTGGAGCTGCGCCACGCCACGGCGGCCGTCACCGCGGCGGCCGCGGCGGCGGCGGTCACGTCCCGGGGGGCGTGCGCATGCCCGGGGGCGGGCCCGGGGGCGGCGCGGCCCACCCCCCGCGGTCCGCGCGGCGGCACCGAGGGGGGCAGCGGCGGCTTGGTGGCCAGGGTGGCCGTCCGCCGCTCCGCCTCCCGCCGCTCGGCCTCCAGCTCCTCGGCGGTGGGGTGCAGCGGGATGATGCGCACGTCCTCATGCTGCAGGTGCTGCAGGTGCGTGTTGGTGCCCTTGTTGAGGCTGGGCGGCGGCGAGCTGGGCGCGCTCGCGCTCCGGCTCAGCTTCTTGCTGGCGTGGTCGTGGTGGCGCCCGGACAGCCGGCGGAGCGAGAAGCGCTGGAAGAAGTCCCCGAAGCGCGAGGTCTTCTTGGGGCTCGCGGTGGGGCTCGCGAGCGGCGACGGCGACGGCGACGCCGCCGGCTGCGTCAACGGCGCGGCCATGCTGGTGACTGAGCGCGGCTGGCGCGGCTGCGCCGGAGCAGGGGCAGGGGCAGCCGGCTGGGAGACAGCTGTAGGCGGCGGGGCCGGCGGGGAGCGGGGCGGGGCGCGCGGAGGAGCGCGGGGCGGCGAGCTGGGCGGGGAGTGGGGCTCGGCGGGCGGGGCTCGGCCGGCGGGCGCAGCGTGCGCAGCGGGCTTATCCACGGCCACGGTGCCGACCTGCAGCTTGTACGCCACGGCCTGCACCTCCTCCTCGAGATCCTCTTCGTGGTCGTCTTCATCGCCGTCCTCATCGTGGTCGGCGCCGTCCGTCTCGTCAACGTCGTCGTCGTCGTCGTCGTCCACGTCGCTGTACGAGTCCCTCCAGGACACCTCGGCCACCACGTCGCAGAAGTGCACGCCCTTGCCCTGGCTGGCGCTGAGCGCGTTGCCCAGGCCCTTGTCGGTCTTGATGAGGGCGGGCTTGTTGAGGTCCGGCGTGCTGGCCATGGTGGGCCCGTCCAGCGGCGCCAAGCCGTACCCGTGCGCGCCCGTGCTCCACCCCGGGTGGCTGCCGTCCCTGCCGTCGGCGAGCTCCTCAGCGACTGCCGACAGCGCGCCGCACACCAGCAGGTCTGGCGCGCTTCGGTGCCAACCCGCGCTAAATTTAGCATCGCCGGCTCCCCAGTTTACCTCCACGTCCTTCTGCTTCCTGCCGCCGCCGCCGCCGCTGCTGCTGTTGCTGCTGCTGCTGCTGCAGGCCGAGTAGCAGGACGACGCGTCGTTGTCCACGGTGTCGTCCTCCAGGATGGGGCACACGGTGAGGCGCTTGCCCGTGGGGGTGGCCAGGTACGAGGCGTGCTCGCCGAACCCGCTGTCCTCGCTGAGGTTCTCCGCGGAGCGCACGGTCCTCGTGGACCCGGATGTCGTTTCAGACGCGGTGCTCGCCGGCTTGGCCAGGACGTCCTCGTGCTCCGTGCAGCTCCCACTGCTGCTGCTGCTGCTGCTGCTGCTGCTGCTGCTGCTCGGGTGGCTCGAGGCGCTGTCCTCCAGGTCGGGCTCGTCCAGGAAGTCGCCTCTTGTCATGCCCGCGGTGTGGTCGAGATGACCGTGGTCGCTCAAGCAGTACGTGGCGTCCAGGTCGCCGTGGTCGCTCAGACCGAACGTCGCGTCCAGGCGGCCGCGCTCGCCCAGCGAGTAGGTGCTGTCCAAGTGGTCGTGGTCGGCGGGGGCGTCCTCGTGGTCGCTGAGGGAGTAGGTGGCGTCCAGCAGGCTGCGCAGCGACGCCTTGGGGCTGAGGCTGTGGCTGCGCTCCTTGCGCCCGGTAGCCGCCGGGTAGGCGTCGCCGTCCGCGGCGGGCGCGCCGTCCTCATCGGCCGCCGAGGACAGCGAAAGGTCCTGGCACGGCCGGCTGAGGTGCGCCGCGCCGCTGTTCGCGCTGCCGCCGCTCAGCGTGCCCAGGGCGGACAGGCTGTCCAGCGAGCGGAAGGCGCGCAGCCGCTCCGAGCCCGCGCTCGACCTGCAACATGGGAGAGAGGTTCTTAGATCAAGGGGCCTGGGCGGGCAGACAGGTCGGTCCAGCACGAGCACGCGGCGCGGCAGCCGCTCCCAGCCAGCCAGCGCTCGAACTGCGGCACGGGACACTTTATTGCATTGCATTCCATCCGTCGCCAATATAGAAGAATCACATAGAAAGATCGGTACCATCATGAAAATAGTTGGCTTCGCACACGATACAACTATACTGGCATAAGAGACAAGGAGTCACAGGAGCAGTGCATACCCCATGCCATGGACAAGATTCCAATGCCACTGAAAAGGGTTGACAACCTAAGACATAGAAATGCGCAAATTTTATGTCGGAAAATGTACTTTTCCACACACACACAGTATAACCACATATATACCACAAATATAAATAGTAGTTCGAGTGCTTTTTTAAAAAGTTCTTAGCGTTATAATGACGCTTTTCGTCGTAAGCTTATCATGTTGGCCTTTCCGAACTGAACTGAATATGAATCTATTGTTTATTCCCACCCCCCTCTCCTCCCTTGGCGTAAAGCGGTTTGTTAGCGCAGTTTGTTGTCAAAAAAATGATTCATGATAAAGATTGAAAAAGAAACATGTTCGTTTGGATTTAAAATAAAGTAATATTACTTAGGTTGTATAGTACATTCGGAATATTCCTATGCGGTCGCGCTTTTCGACCATTTAAATTTGAATTTTCTGGAACGGACCCCGGGACCGAATGGGCAATGAGCGGTTAGTGTTGACCGTTGGCGGAAAACGCGTAAAGTGAGGTTCGCCTGGTCGAAATATCAGAGTGAATAACAATGTCAAGTTCAAAAGACAGTGACTATGAAGATATCGCTGAGTTCTTTCCTGCCTCTGAATGGCGTGAAATGTCAAAATATGATAAAAATAGCTTCAGGAATGCTAAACGAAATTTTCATGCTCTGCAACAGGCAGGTGAGTGTATTTTTACAGCTCATTTACTAAATCACTAATCCTTGCTGGGTCATTTGATTTGTCAGAGGGTTAATTATTTGCGTCTGAGTTTTATTCTTGCCGGTTTTTTATACACAATATTACGCCTCGTTCGTTATCAGGCCTCAGCCCTAATCCTCCCCAATTCATGAGGAATGGACCAAAAGTGAAGAGGGTAAAGTGCGTCCAGGAGGAAGAATTTGATGAGAAAGATTTGGATTGGTCCCCCAGGAAAGAAAATCAGGTACCCGTGCGTGTCTTCTGTAGTTGTTATTGAACTGTCGAATCAGGTTGCAAACATTGTCAGCAAACAGTACGGCAGGGTGCCATTAATCAGCATGAACGTGTGTCTGTGCAGGCAGGAAACTGTGGTCGTCCTTCTCGCGCTGAGAAGTCTGTGGCGCCGAAAGATGCGAGTGCCCGTGTGAAGGAGAACGTCGGCCTGCCCTCCTCTCAAAAGACTTCTGCGACACGGGGGAAGCAGCAGGCTCGGGCACCACCGACGGGGACATGCGAGCCGCCAGCTGACCCTGAGCAAGGTAAAGTATAAAGGCTCGATGTAGGCCGTAGTAGTCTTGGCGCCAACGGTTGTGATGGTGATGCTCGGGTCTCACTACCTATCGCGGTACTACCAAACGGCTGCCGACGTTACCTTTGTGTTTCTCTGGTGTTCTCAGACCCAGGACCCTCCACCTCCGCCCAGGCTCAGGGCGCCGCCCGCCCCGCCCGCTACCCGAAGAGGGCCGCCAGTCGGGGCAAGGTTTACACGGAGTCCCCCGCGCTGGACGCCGACGATTTCTTGTGTGAGTGTCATAATGCTAATCGGAGACCTTCGGCGCACCACGGGCAACCCAACACACGTCTCACCCCGTTGTTGTTTCTCGTCCACAGTTTGCGACGACTGCGACAGGGAGTGGGAGGGCGACTGCCCCGAGCACGGACCTCTCCACACCATCGAGGACGCAGAGGTGAGTGGCGGGCGGGACACATACATGTGGAGGTGCGGAGCCTCGGGGGCCTCTGCTCGCTTTCACTCACTGCCTCTGCCCCATAGGTACCCGACGCCCACCCCGAGCGAGCGCTGAAGAGTGTGCCCAGTTGCCTGGCCGTGCTCGAGAGCAAGATCACCGGCGCAGGCCTGGGCGTCTGGACCAAGCAGGCCATCCCGCGCCGAGTGCGCTTCGGACCGTACGTCGGGGACATCACCAAGAAGATGCAGACGGGCTACGGCTGGGGGGTGAGTGCCACAGTGGGGTGCGCTCTCTGTGTCCACACTGTAAAAAATGGTTGTTGAAAAACAGCCCTTTTGTTGTTCGGGAACAACAGCATGCTGTAAAGCCGAAAGGTAACTTTTGCGCAGATATTACCCTGCCGAGGGTGACAATTTTCGACAATCACCTCACGCGCGGCAAGAAACGATTTGTCGCCCTGCCCGGGGTAATGTGCCGTCGCGTCTCCCGTGTTGAGGGTAAGAATTCTTACCCTCGCTCAGAGGTAACTTTTCTCGCCGC